AGAAAAATAGAAGAAATATATTTTCTCAATGGGTAAATCATATAATTAAATTGTATGAACGTGTCTAATCGATTTCTATTATTAATTATGAAATTTCAACAGTATAAAATGTCATATATGCTAACATACTCATCGTTTCCTTTTCTTTTATAGCACAGATATGAATATAATAGACTAAATAACATTATACTGTCAAATACGGTAATTGATAATAGAAATTGTTCGAACACGTTTACATGAGTTCTTATCTTTCTATGACTAGCATAGAAAAATCTAATATTTTGATAATGTATTTAAATTGGATTGATGTATACTTCCTTGTAAAAAATGGTTGAATAAAGCACTTTGAAATTTTCGACGAGTATAATAAAAAATTATTCTAGACTCGAAATTCTTTTGCTACTTTCTTTTATGAAATATAGAGAAGATAAATATCAACAATGAATTGATGTAAATTTTGTAAAATCTATCGAAGTTCACAAATATGGTACTTATTTTCAAAGAACAAAAAAAAAAGCCTAAATCCTAATTTAATCAAATTTACAATAAAATAAATCTTTTCAATTCAATCGATCCGAGTAGAAAATTTGTTTTATCTTTTCAAAAATTAATTTTGAGAAAACGTCGTTTTTTTTTTCTTTTTCAACATATAGTTATTAACTAATGCATTTGAAAAGCAATTAGTGAAGTTTTTTGTAAAGACAAATTTCTTTAGAAACTAAATAACAATAATAAAAAAAAAATTTCGTTTGTATAACAAATTGTAAGAAGATATTTGAATATTTTTTTTTTTTTTTTTTTAAGAATTAAAATTAATTTATTGATCTATCTATATATAATTTTCTTACAGTAAATTCTGACGTTGTGTTTCGTTCAAAATCATCTTTTAATGAATTATCTAATTGATGTTTAACAGTTCGACCAGTTTTTCCATAGATAATTATAAATACATTTGCATTTGTACCAGCTCCAAAATCTTTACCTGTTTTAACTGATATATGATAACATATAGGTCCTATAAATAATAATAAAAAACAAAATATATATTTACAAAGAAAAAAAAAACCTTTTTGATGATGATCAGTTGATGGATATGTTTCTCTTTTTGCATTTAATTTACTGACTGCTTGTCCAAGCCAAGCATTAAATGGAAAATAAACTTGTAATTGTTTATCATCATCATTATTAGGCCTTATTTTCCACATTACCATTTCTTTAAGATCCCAATCAGCTGCTAATTGAGATTTATCAGATTCAACACTAGAAACAAAAATATTGTTTTTTTTTTGTTTTTATTTATTTACAATATTTATATAGTATGAAAACGACTATGATTGAATTACTTTATCTCTAATAAATCACCAATATCTCGACCAACAATAGCAAATGTATCTAATTGATTTTGTTCAAATAAATCTGCTCCACGACTTGTTAATGCTAATTGTCGTGTTTGACCTGTTGAACCACGAATAATAACTTGAATATTTGAATCAGTACCGGCAAATGATTTTCCACCAGTACGAATTTGTAATATATACACTAAACAAACATAAAAAAACATAATTATCCAGGTCGAACTCACTCCATCGGATCCGATAGAAATTCGTCGGAATCCTTGGTATCGGATTCCAACATCCGACAAATTCCTATCGGATCCGGTAATTTTTCCGACAGGATCCGACTGTCGGATTGTTCGTCCTGGGTAATTATAGATTCAATTCAGTTTATATATACTTCAATGATCTTTTCTTTTTTGTTTCTTAATCATGTTCTACAAAATTAAAATTTACCTGATAATTTATCCAATGATAATTGATTTTGTTTTCTAATAGTAATTGGTTCTATTTTTTTCTTATCTTCTTGTTGTTCTGGTAACCAACAATTAAATTCACATAACCATGTAACAGATGTATTTAAATTTGTTATTTCAATTTCTTTTAAAAACCATTCTTTATCTGAACGTGCACCAACAAGCTTTAATATACAAAGAATAATAAAGATTATTAAATCATAGAAAATAAAATTCTTATAAATTTACATTAACATTTAAATGATGTAATTGACCAATATCAGGTCCTTTAAGACAAAATGTTCTTACAGATCCACTTGGAAAACCTTCAATATTTTGATTTGTACGTGCATGTAAATTAATTGATGTCCAATTTTTTTCTGTTCCATACATATATAAAAATACCTTCAAAAAAAAAAACAACAATGACAAGATAATAAAATAAAATTTTTGTTTTTTATACTTGAGCTCGTGTACCACTATTTTTTCTTGTACCAGTTCGAACAATAAATCGATAAGATACTAAATCAGATATTAATGAATTTTCAATAGTTCGATCTAATGATGTTGATCGAATTTTAAGAGCTTTTGGATTATTATATGGAATTAATTTTCGTCGCTAAAAATAATTTATTTATATATCTATATTTAATTGAATTAAATTTATACTTGTGATTGATCACGAGGTTTTATATGTTCATGATGATGTTGATTAATTGAACATAAATAACAAAATGTATGTCCATGATCATCATAAAAATCTATATATAGAAATTTTTCTTTTTTTTTTTTTTTTGAAAAATTTCTAAACCTGTTTTATGAATTCCTGTAACATTGGATTCTATTGTTTTATCAGTAAATAGAACACCTGTATTTATCCATTGTGTATTAGTATTAGAAAATGGAGATTTAATTTGTAATTGTTTTTCATTCGTTAAATATAATGGTTCAAAATTATGTCGACGAGCAATTATATCTAAATCACTTGTAGAAGTTAAATCTAAAATAGAAAATAATTTGAAAGAAAAATATCATCTATAATATTGTGTTTATATTTTTATTTACTAGATTTTTGTGTATCAATAAATGATGCTTGACTTGATGAATAAAAATGATCACCAAATGGAAGTGTCCATGGAACATCACCTCCAATATATTTGATATCCATATGTATAATATATTTGTAAATGTTTTGTTCTGTTGTTAAGCTGCCATTAGTTTATAATACACCTTGGCGATGACTTCGGTTGGTTACAGAAGAAAAATAAATTTTTCGTTCTGTTCTCTACCTTTTTTTTAAACGAGAAGTATTAGAAAGATTTACCTTTCAAATGCTTTCAAAATATAATAATAGTTTGTTGTTTTGGAATTTCATATTGTAGATTAGCTCGAAATCGATCTAATACAATACTTAATGACTCACTAATATAAATATATTGACAAATTTTCAATGATGGATTATTATTGATTATAGAGCATTCAATTGTGTATTGCAGAAATCTAATGTTTGATTGATATATGTGCTAAAAATAAAGTCTACCTGTAACTCATTCCTAATTGATAATTAAGATGGATTGTCCCATTTTAATTGGATTTATATGGATTTTAGTCGATTTCAAAATCAGCCATGTTTAATCTTTCGGTCAAGATCAAAAAGAATAATAATTTTTGAACTTATTTATAAAATATTAAATGATGAAATAAATCATAGTTATGAATTGAAAAGTTCAACATAATTTTTTCCAAATCTTATTTACATCAAAGTAGATTTTTAATTAAATCTTCCTTTTAAGCTTAATCATTTGTTTTTTTTTTAGAGCTAGAAATCTGTTCAAGGCATTTTGTACACTGATTGTAAAATTGATCACGCTATTATTTTAGTTGATGCCTAAAGACATACTGATTTTTTTCAGATGGATACCATCTTAATGATCATGACAATAATACTGATTAACTTTTTCTTTTTGTTAGGTTTGGTTTTTTGTACTCAAATATTGTTTAATAAATTTTCTTTTATACAATAAATTAAGAAGCCTCTATTATGACTTTAACGAGCTCTAGATGTAAGCATTGTATTCTTTTCATGATAATAGCTTAGTTCTTTTTTTAACGATGTTTTTATTAGTTTCAAAATTATACTATGATTAAAAAAAATACTTATTGTGTATTCACAGTAATGATAGTATCAGTTAAATTTAGAAAGTCATTCATAAATGACTAATAACTTATCAAAAAATATTCGAGTTTCATATCATAACACATCGATATTTGTATAAAAACTCACGTAAATGAACATCTATTGTTATGTTAATCGGTGATAGTAATTATTCTATAATCCTCAATTCTATTATACAACTGACTCATATCTTCATCTGATTGTTTTCCTTACATATTACTTTTAACAAAATATCCTTTGTTAAAATAATAGATCATCAATAATTGATCCTCATTTAGGCAAAGTTCCGCAAGCATAACTCTTCACATATTTGTATATATATATATATATATTAGTCTGTTCTAATCTCAAACGAAAATATTACATCAACAACGAGCTGCTCATCAAGAATGAGTATATAGCTCTTTTACAATCGTATTATTCTTTTTTTTGATTCTTCTGTATAGAAGACATTCTATTATTGGTATTGGTAATAATTGTTTGAAAACAACTTGCATTTGATGGATATCATTCAATCGATTTAACTTTTCATTATTATGGATCGCTCTATAAGTTACTTTTTAGACGGTTTTATAAACATGTCATGTCTCGTATCAGCAATCAGATTCAATCATTGACACTCGATATTTAATATCTTTTTCTGTGATAGATAAATACACGAATATCTAATATAAGAACATGATGTGTCAATCAATGTTCTTTGTAATCATATACTTTGATGTATCTATGATTGTAGCATTTTTTGTAAGCTGTCTGGTAGAAATAAAACATTATAATTTCATAGAAAATATCTTTCTTGATTATTTTATTTATAGTTATTATTGATTAAGAAAGAACAATAAATATTAATTAGCATCTTCCAATCATTCTTCTATGACCAAAAATAAGTTTCTTTTTGGATTATTATATATACATGTGTATGCCGTTGTATAGGTAACAGAATCAACTATGTTTGTATACACAAATTAGATTTTATTTACGTATGATTTTGTACTTATTTCAAAAATCACCCATTTGCGTGATATGGATAGAACACAAGCAACGATACGAAGAACAAAAATATCCTTTTTAATCATTTTCAATTTTACAGTAAATGTTTAAACATGTGTTTGTTTTTTGTAGCCAATAAGCTTCACAAATAGATATCTACTCTATTAACAATAATTGATGATGTTGTAGTTCTAAACCGGAGCGGCAGTTTCACTCAACGTTTTTTACCTCTGACTATTCAAATACTGCATGCATACAGTACCAGGCTTGTTATTATGATATATATATAATAACACTGCATGCGAAGAGTACGTTTCTGATATAATATGTGTGGATAGATACAATGAGATACACATGTATATACAGTAATATAAGAGGAAGAAAAAAAGAAATAATCGAAAAAGGAACTTATTTTTGTCCATGGAAAACGATTGTTTTGCATATAGAAAATACTTTCTTCATAGATGGATCTGTAAAGATGGGAATTCATGACATGTACATTTGCTTCTTAATAGCTAGTTCACTTATTCTAATTTCATTTCTATCATTGTAGATATATCATAATTCCAAAATTCCATTTACTTCACAATAAGCTCAAGTCCATCGTTAGAAGATATTAGTAACGACATAAGATCGAACCTGGGACTGAATGTAATATATTTTTCAACCTCAATAGATTGAGTAGAAAACGTCCAGATACAATATTTTTTTTAAGAACCTGTCTCCAATCAAACATTTTTTCCGTCATGCCATGTTCGATCTGTGTATTTTAGACGCACATAAAACGTGATTCAGATATATATATTAATGCAAAAAATATTTACATTGGTTTATGAGAAAAAAAAATATTGATAGCTGATATAAAAATTGTATATAATAAATGACAAACAAGAAATGTTTTCTCTCATTATATTTTCGCTGTCTTACTTCATTTTTTATCAATGAATATATGCTTTCAACCTTGTACATGTTCTCTTTCGTTCTTTATCTTCACTATTCCTGTCAACATTATGTACAACGAACACGCCTCTATAAAAAATGTTTTCAAGCATATCATTTTGAGACATCATCAACTTCTCACGTTGTCAATCAATTAATATATCTTATAAATATAAGGTATTTTATCGCTCAATTTTGTATAAAGAGAGACCCACAGAAAAGGAAGCGATAGTCGATGATCTGAAAACGACATGTTCGATTTCCATGAGTTATTAGCTCTTCATGATTTTAGAACTCAAGGATTTTTACGAATTAATTTGCACTCACAGCAACTAAGGATACTCTTGGTATTCGTACGATCATCAAAACTCATGAAAGTCATGAAAATCAAAACCCTCAGAATTAAACACACTCATGGAATCTACATAAGTTATTGAACTCTCAGAATTCAAACAACTCATGGATTTCTCTGAGCTTACTATGCTCATGCAGGACAAGGAACCTTTGAAATTCATGGAACAGTGGCCAACTATGCCATTAAAGAAACACTCATTGAACACATTGAACTAGCGGTGTGTGGGCAAATGCTGATTACCTATCATCTAAATTTTTTAAGAAAATACTAATGATTAACAAGATTAAAGAAATTTTATTTCTTGTATCATCTTGTCAGAAAATTCAACTTTATAATAACTATTTGTTTCAATATTCATCTTCAAATAAAGATAGTAATCTATTAATTTAAATTAATTCTTGCATCTTTATTATTAGATTGAATCGTATTCATGGCACCTATAAATATTGATAGATTGATAACGTTATTTCTACCACATGGTCTCATATATACTATTTTGGGTATAGTAATCGTGTGTCTTACTATCTTAACAATTGTCTATGCTAGTTTATGGCATAATACTAAAACTTCATCATATACATTTGCAATTGCAAATGGCATTATCGGTTATCCTATTCTTTTACCTAATGATGGTCGATATGTTCAATGGAACTTCTTACAAATGAATGATGTTTATGAATTATTACCACAAGATAAAGGTCGTAAAGGTGGTTTAGCTCGTGTTGCTTATATGCGACAATTATTAAAAGAAGAAAATCCACATACCTATACAATTCTTGCTGGTGATCTTCTTTCTCCATCAGCTTTAAGTTTATCAAAAGTGAATGGAACAAGTCTAAATGGAAAACAAATGATAGCAACAATGAATAGTCTTGGACTTGATTTTATAACATTTGGAAATCATGAATTTGATTTATCTGAAAAAGATTTACTTAGTCGAATGAATGAATCAACATTTACTTGGATTAGTACAAATATATTTCGTCAAGATAATAATCAAATATTTGGATCAAGTATTTCTCATAAAATAATAACTATTGATACTATTCGAATTCTTTTCATTGGTTTAACTCTTGATGGAACTGGTAATTATGTTCGAATTATTAATCAATCATCATTAGTTAATTATGTTCAAACATTTTTAAAATTATTTTCAAATGGAACATATGATGTACTTGTTGCTATTACTCATTTAGATATGATAATAGATATTGAACTTGCTTTAAATATTCCACAAATTGATCTTATTATTGGTGGACATGAACATGAAAATTATTATTATTTAAGAGGAACAAAATATATACCAATTTATAAAGCAGATTCTAATGCTTTTTCTGTTTATATACATCGTTGTGCATATAATTTAGATACAAAACGTCTTCGTATTTATAGTAATTTAGCACGAGTAACATCTGAAATACCAGATGAAGAAAAAAAAACAGCTGCAGTAGCAAATTATTGGTTTAATTTAGGTATTGAAGGATTTCAAGCATTAGGTTATGAACCAAAAGCAATTCTATCATGTCTTCCAATTGGTATTGAATTAGATGGTAGATTTCAATCTGTTCTAAGTTATACAACACTTTTAACTGCTTCAATATGTGAAAGTATGTTACAATTAACAGTAGCCAATAATACAACTATTGCACTTGTTAATGGAGGAACAGTACGTATTGATGATATTCTTCGTGAAACAATTACACAATAT